CTGAAAGTGTAACTAGAGCCTAGTAAGGCCCCAATATCTTGAACTGCCGAGATCACTCTCCCTTACCACTAACTATGCTCAAACATTATATGAATTTGATGGTCTATCAATGGTCCCATGTTGATTCACTTAAGAGTAGATATAGGGCACATATGTTGTGCAGAAGGGGGCTTGAATCCTATTATTTAGCAAAAGGGTGGTCGTAGATCATGGAATATTTTGAAAGAGAATTGCATTGACGTACCTTCTTTTATGCCTAGGGACTGTGGGGTTTAGGGTATCATCTGTTATATAAATGGTTTTCAAGACCTATAGTCAAGGAAGGGTGACGGCGATGGAACAGAGGGTTGGTTCTCTCGCTAAGAGAAAATGAGTGAATAGAGTGGTTTAACCCTCACCTGAGCCTTCTGGTTTTGTTTCTTCGCCTGAGCTTGGGCTTGGACCCTAGTACAATAGATTACGATGGCGTGAATGGGCCTTAAAACCTCGGAACAAAGGAAATATCGGATCAACTGACTCAATCTATCGTCGTACCTAACTCATCGGCGTATCTGACTCGCCTGCTATTCTATTAGATTGGAATCGAGGAAGGTTTAAAGATGGAATTCGAAATGAATTCTATGCGGAGGCTAAGGTCCTACTATAGTAATTGATGAGAACTAGCAAGGCTCCTTCTTGCTTTTAATGGCTATGAAGTGGCTACGAAGGAAGCAAAATGATAAACTAGGTAATTGGTTGAGGATAATGTAGAAAAAGGGAAGCCCCTAAAATAAACAAAAGGGGTGGACTACTATCTGCGATCTAGGAACTGGAATGATAGGATTTGGTTCAAACACTTTTGGCTAGCGCTAAACCTTGGTACGCAATGAGTATCCCCAAATATAGTAAGTGTGCGGTGAGGTTTCTTTCTAAGTATCAAGTTTACAAAAAATTAGAAACAAAGAACTGATCCGAGTTATCATAAAGTGCCATGCCCTAAGCACCAACGACGATGAAAGCAGAGAAGGAAAAGAATCAATGATTAATTGGGTTACCTCTTCCTATCATAAATCGTTTAAGAAAGTTAGTAGTGTGCTGCTTGATTGTTACTTGATTGTTCTTAATTCATTCACCAAGAAATCATCTTTGATAAGACAGATAGCAACAATCAAACGTATGTTTTTTATATTTTCTTTGGAAGAAAATGTTATTCACGTTGTTCCAAATTCTATTTCAATTATTACAAAAAGAAAAGATCAATGCCCTTAATTAGCATAATCTGAAGGTCAACAGAGCTTTTCGTTTTGTTGCAAAACAGTTTCAAAATAGCCAATTCTTCCTTATCGCGAAGGAAACATATGTTCCCTATTTGAGTCCCCACTCTCTCAAATACCCTTCTTTCGAGGTCCATCTATGCTCCAATCTGAGTTTTTAAAGCCTTTCTAAGGCCAGTCAAAACGTAGGCTCCCGTACGTAAAAGAAATGGATTGCTCGCCCTTGGATTATATTATGTTATTGAATTCTTTTCTTGTTTTCTCTTGGTGGATCTATTTGGGAATCTCCTTTCTCTGAGGAGGGGGGGAAGTTTGCTCACTTTCAGGAAGTGATCTCCCTAAAGAATAAAAAGATTTTGATACTTCAAAGAAGACAAAATGAAATGAATAGAGGGGATTAGAGCCTTGGTTCATGTAGCGGGGAAGGAAGTGTTTCTATAGACCGAAGCGGGGGAGTCTCACTCTATGAATATGTAGAGAAGGTCATTTAATAGCTTTCGTGATAAACCAAACCAATTTGATTTTCAAAATGCTTACTTATAGCTACGGAACAGGCCTACCACACCACACTGTATCTCCCCTCGCCTTCGGCTCCATGCATACTGTACTGAGCCTTTGTTGACGCTGCCACCACTTTTTCTTTCTTTAATACGGGGTAAACTGAAGCGCATTAAAGTGGTAGCCTTCAACAAAATCGAAACTAACCAATAAAGTACTTGGGAATTCCCTTGGTCGGTGGCTATCAAATCGTATTTTGGTTCTTCCATTAATATGTCTATTCCAATTGTAACCCTTCATCCTATAACAATTAAAATAATTTTTAACCCTCCCATATTTGACCCTGCCCAAACCCGACCCAACTTGCCTTTTTGCCACCCCTACTTTGAAGTTACAAGACATACACAAATCAACATCAACTTATGATATAACTTCTTGTTAATGCACAAAAAGAGTATTAATATAAACATTACTTACCAAGGCATGTCAAGATACAATTTTTTTTTTATGTAATCCTTGTCTAGCATGACTTTTTGAAGCCTAGAAATTGATTCAGGAAACATTACAGATATTGCGTCATCAACGTATACAGCATCTTGACCTGCATGCTGTTATTAGTGTAAAGAGAGTATTATTTATTTAAAAAGACTTGAGAAGTAGAAAAATTCTTGTAGTTTACAATTTTTGGCATCCCCAAGTGCAAATCCACGCAACTCTCTTTTAGATCTTCAGCAAGGGAAAAACCTTCTTCATGCATCGTCAGAAATTTCTGAAAAAAAGAAGAAAGAAAAAAAAGAACAACAAATGTTATCAAGATAATATATAAGTAAAAATTAACTTATATAAAGGAATAGTACATACTCGATGAACGTTTTAGAGGATTGTAAGGTTCTCGAACACTGATAAATAGAATATGTGGCCTGATAAACTGGACTGTTGAAGGAAAGCCAGAAAGAAAAAGGGAGTGTTTCCTTCTTCTCATATAATGCATGTCCATTTTCCAAGTCGATTTGGTATAGCTTTGTAGCGGTTCGTTTCCATAACACAATAAAATACATATAAATGGTGATATCATACATAAATCTGAGTGATCCGGACAACATAATAAAATTCGAGGTGGACTGAGAGAGGTGGAAGCACAGGCAAACTCGAGAGAGAGGGTAAAGATGGCAGTGTATTCGTACACCATTGACTCCCTTGGTGAAGATGTATGGAGAAAACATGAGAGGTTATTTCGTCCGCCTTTTTTGCTCTCTGCCTCCTTCTTGGCCTTGGAACACCTCTTTATATAGGCCAACTGCCAAGTGAGGTTTGGTGACGTCATAGTATGATATCACGTATGTCCATTAACGTAACAATTAGAAGAGATAAATATCTCAAATAATCAATGTTAATTAAAATTGATTTAATTTGTACGGGAGTGAAAATGGTATTTCTCTCTCTACGAGTCAGGTCGAGAGTCGACTCGACGAGCCCTCAACTTCATCCACCAAACCAAGAACCTCCTCGAATCCCAGGTATTCCCGAGTCCTGCTCCCAACTTAGGTCTTCAAGTCTTCGACCTTCTACTTGAGGTATACTGACGTGGTAAGTGTCACGTAACTTAGACCATTTGTCCGTTTGATTTATGGGTCATCATTGCTGATGTGGTGTTGCTTGTTGACCATTTAACCAAGTTTTGTGGGCCATTGTTGATGATGTGGCATAGTTCATTGACCGTTTGACCAAGAAATGTGGGCCATGTGGAGTGAGATATATTCAACACCTACATTTAGTCCCCCTACTCGAGTGAGCTTTGTAGAATTCATAGAAGGTTAGTCGTGCATAAATGACTTGAAAGTGGTGCTTATGCAAGGTTTTACGTGACTTGGTGCGATACCGGGGTTTGGTGACCTGGTGCGATACCAGGGCTTGATGACCTGGAGTGAGACCAGGGTTTGGTGAGTCGAAGCGAGAAAAATACTACTCCTTAATGTGGGTTCCACACTAGAAAGACTTCCTTGTTCACTACATCATCGGTGTGGCTTCAGCATGATTGATGTGGGTTCCAGCACAATTGATGTGGGTTCCGACTTTATCATCGATGTTAACTAATTATATCAACTCATGTAAAAAAAAAGTGCATTTATTTACCTACTCGGTCCTATTACTATACGTCAGCATTCAATTAATTTGTGATACTATGTCATCTCAATTAATTGTGATACTGTGTAATCTAAATAACCTATCACCACATTTAGTTAGTTATACCACGTCTTCAAAACAACATAGCATTAAAGTATTTTTCGTCCCATATATCCGTGTATTGCCCCCGACCATCTTGTCTTGAAAGAAAGAAAAAAAACAAAAATTATATACAATATCCCGAAATCTCCCGGCCGTTAGATCATCAGGTAAACTCCACCACCACATCAAATGTTTCCTTCTTTTTTTCCTTTTTTTCTTTTTTTCGCTTTTTTAAAGAAGTTTGCTTTAACACGGTTCTCCCACCAATATCTTGAAGTAACAATGATATCATTTTCACGGACCTTGAGTGAGAGAGAGCATTAGTGTTTCTAAAATTTGTCCGGTCACAAGTCACAACACCAGTAAGTTTTCCTAATAATTCTTGCTTACAACTTTAGAATGGTGGACCTATAATGTATGGTAACCGATACTTTATAGCTTAATATGATGTGGTACATAAAATGTTACAAAACACAATCCATAACCAAAAAATAAAAAAATAAATAAAAATAAAAATAAAAGTCTGAAAAAACACATTTGCATATTGGGGATTTTGTGCAACGAGAACATGATTAAATTACAAGCAGCCAGGGTAGAGTCTGGCCATGTGAGTAGAACAAGCAAAACTGGGATTGAAATAACAGGTGCCCGCTATGTTTAGTGACATGAAACTGAATTACCAACTTAAGATATGCTAATGTGGGGTAGCCAGCCAGGTAGGGTACTGAAAAGCCGACACACCCCCCACCTCGTACATGTTCCAATTTGTATCCTAGGTTCACTCACTACCTTCCACCATGTTCCTCTCGATATTGCCTCCTGCACAAGTTCATTATTAGCAAAAACTGTTTTTTCTGGGCTCTGCGGTGTCCTAATCTAGTACTAAGAATATATCCCAACCCTAACCGAGAAATTCAGGTGCGAAACTAAGAAAAATGGTTACAGCAAACAATGTTGGGTAACCTAGGCTAGGTTGAATGAATATCTAAAATCACAAACCATATAGAATATTGAAGGCGGAAATAAACAAAAAGAATGAACTGCAATAGATACTTCATCTAATAATTGAGTACTAAAAACTATAAGTAATAAACAACATGATTAAAGGTTGAAACCAATACTATAATGGTTGGATGTGTCGGGCCAAACCTGACACAATACAGTTATAAGTGCACACATTTTCCCCAGACTAATTATATTTAGTGTCGATCAGTTGATCTAAAACCATCTGCCATCAATGCATACACATATACACCAGAGCAACTGAGGTAGACATTAGATCTGAGCAACTTGGATGATGTATCAGCAATCCAAAATCGGACTTTCACAGCGTAGACTGTTCTCTCTGCTATATATAGACTTCGCACCCTGAGAAGCAATGAAGAATTGCATGTTATAAGCTAGTAGTATCATGAATAATAAATGGAAGTTCCAGTTCCTAGCACAAATGCAAATTCAAGCTCATTATATTTAAAAGTCATCTTTAGTGTAATGGATCAAATTTATAAGAGGTGACAAAGTTTAAACTATACAAATTATTCACCTGTACCCTTTTTGGGACACTAGTTATCTAACAAGATAGAAGAAGCTACTCCAGAGTGCCAGAGAGAGAAACATAACAAGATTCTATTAATGTTTTTGTTTCTATGTTGACGAGATGATGAGCCCGTGGCTTTCCATTCTAATTGTCTTCATTTTCCATTCCAAAATTGTACCATAAACTTGTACCATTTAACAATAATAACGGTAAATTCAGATTAAAAAGAAAACTGAAATCAAGTTAATAGGCACACTTGAAAAAGCTCATTTTGTTGTTTGATATTTAAGTATTCCGTCTACAGAGACAGAGACAGAGACGGACACATGCACTTTCATTTTTATGTAATTTACAAGTTGCATGGAAGGATGCTTGGGAAACCAAAACTTACTTGGAAAATTGTTCCGAGCTTTTTCATCCCTTTGGCCCGTTGCTTGAGAACATCCTTAGAAACAGTAGGGTCTTTGAGAACCTGAAGTGGAAGCAGAAAATCCACAATCACTTTCTTCAAACCAAGTATCGTTTTTTTTATACTTCTCATCATGCGTAATTTTTATGTTTAGCTTAAAAATGACATGCTCAGTGTGTCAAAACCCAAGCATAGATGCCACAATTGGTTGCCCATCTGTCGAATGCCAAGGCAAATACAACATCAAGTGACATAATGGTAATCCAATTATCAAAAAATTAAGACCCATGTTTTCAAAAAGAATGTAAATATATTGCTAGATATTATCTATATAATTCTCTTCGTGAAAATTGATCTTAATTATCGTATCTGCCACATGCCAAGGCATGCATAACCAATTAAGTAATACAATAGTAAGGCCAGTCATCTAACTATTGCATTAGTTAACTGGCGGCCTTCCTATGTTGTCATAGCTGGAATTTATAATTAAAAAAATTGGGACTCACTGCTTGGCAGACATGTGATAAAGTCGACTCAATATCAACCACATTGATCTGCCAAAGGGAATTAATCATTGCATCTCTTTTATCTTCAAAGGCTTTGATTAAGCGTTCTTCTCTGTTTTCTCCTTGATTCACCTTCTTCAGATCCTCCTGCAACTGAATTAAATTCACAGCACCTAGCATGTGCAATATATAAGATGATTGGCTCTCTTTAAAGCAAAAGTCAATAGTCAGAAGCCTTTTTCCTAAAATGGACCATTTAAATCATTTATCGAAAAATATAAAATAATGATAACAAAAAAATAATAATAATAATAAGTGCAGAAATATCACACCTGAAGCTGCCATAACTTGCGATTTTATCTGGTGTCCTTTATCTCGAACCCATTCTGCTAAAAATGGTACCTTCATATATCGTTTGTCCTTTCCAATTTCTCTTGCAGCTTGCCTTGTGTAGATATAACCAATAGTGTGTAGCATAGCCTCGCCAAAAGCTGAAACGATAACAAATATGATTTAAAAGTGATTTACAATAGGAGGTGCATAGAAAAATAAAAGAACCCAAGTTTCAGACCATCTCTACGCTGCCAAAACAAGTACACAGCCAGGTTTTCTGGAATTCAACTCCATAGGAAAAAAAATTAAAAAAATTCCCACAATAAATGACCCTAAATGACTCCATAAGAATTGCCATTCACAGCTTTGTCAATATTTTGACATCAGTAACTATAACAGTAAAATTAATGTTCAACGCCAGTGAGACCAGTTTAGCCTGACTCGGACCCTATACCAGACTAGATGACTTAGAACCAGGCAGGTTAACTAGTCAAAATGTCAAACCAACAACCCAAACCAGGGTTTATTTTGCAGTCTGGTCATCTAGAAGATTAAAAACTTCTAAAAAAACCTTCTACAATAACATCTTTGTATAGTTACAGAAGTGTTTAGTTTTATTTGACATATCTTTCGCCAGAAGATGTAATAATTTAAATATTATTAAACTGAAGTGGCTGCTACTAGAATCATGCAGAAGAATCTGTTTATGACTCACCACTGGTGGGCCAGTTCATCCAGCTGAATTGGATTTTAAAAAATTTAATGAAAAATATAACGGCACGTGCAGACGTCAGAAGGTGCATTACGCTTCAACTTCCGGTTGCTTCTAGAAATGCTAGTAGTAAATTCAATAAATTGCCAAGGAAACAGAAGATAATTGATATAAAGGAAATAATCATTCTAAAATTGGTTCAAATACAATGAAGCCTCCAGAGAAATGAAATAAAGATGAACTTCAAAAATAAAAAATAAAAATTGAATTATTACACTGAAAATACCAACTGAGAGTTGCCGAAGATTCTGAAGTTGCAATGATATGATCGAGTGGAAACCATCTCAAGCAAGAACCATGCAAAGTTATTCTCCGAATACAAATACTCAGGAATTTCAAAAGCAATAAAAGACACAAAATTCAAAACACTTTAGAATAGCTCCCAATAGGTTGAATTGTACTGGGCAAATATGATAACATACATCAAAAGCTAGACAAAGTTAATAGAATTTCAGTTGCCATGCACTGAACTATCAGCATTCGATAGATGAAAATGGAATCTATAACTAGCTTTTCAAGGTCCTATTGCTTTAATAAAAATTCTAGTGAAACAGGCGGATAAGCATACACATTGTATCGACCACAGTATTTCCTTCATGTTTCAAGACTGGATGAACTTAATATGAGCCTGCCTTACTTTTAGAGAAGATCAATTCAGATCCTAACAAAACTATCAGTTTTTCTTCCTGGCATATTTGAAGCTAGCAATAAAGATTAGTCATGATTTTTAGGTTGTCAAATCTTTCATATTAACAAAATCTGCAAGGTAATGAGATGTACTACAAGAAAAGGAAATAACGTTTACCAGCAGATGAAAGACGGCGGGCTTCTAATTTTGCCCACCCCACAAACTCATCAGGTCGACCTCCAACAAATGGCTGAAGGCGATTTTTTAGATTTGTTATGAGCTTTTCCTCCCTTTCCTTTTGTAATGCCTGCACAGTAAAAGTAGGCAGGATAATTTCAGTAAGTGTATTGAGCAGTTGGCACTCTGAAAACGGCAATAAAAGTATATACCTTAATCTTCTCCTGAACTCTTTGCTTCCGGACTTCAGGAACCTGCGACTCTTCTTCAACCTCAAGAGATGCTAAAGTAGCCAATGCAAGTTGCCCAATATAATCCTCAAAATATTCACTCCCAAACACCATTCCAAATACAGCTGCAGGGTCCACCATCGAGTCCCTGACAAAGGGAATAAATTACAATTATCTTTCCTCGTGCATGTTTTATAGGACGAAAAGTATAGGGATTAAAAGGAAGCTTAACAGGTAAATTAATCACATAATAACTCTTGCACTGAACTTATAAAAAAAAATAACTCTTGAACTGAAAGTTCTTGAATAGAAAACCAACATAAATGACATTTTGTACAAATATGTCCAATTAAAAGCGCTATTAAACATTTTATTGTGAATGCTCTTGAAAATTGCCATTTTGTACAAGTACGTCCAATTACAAGTCCTCTGCACCATTCTTTTTTCTTTGAGTTATATATACTTACTGTGATACTCCAGCCTTTCCATTTTTGTCATATGCTTCACGCTTCTCAGGGTCACCTAGAACTTGATAAGCCTCCGCAAGAACCTGGAGACAACCATACCAAGAAAAAGTAATACAAAGAGGTAACAATAATAGAAACACAGGAATTTTCTTCCTTTCTTTAAAAACAGAACACACACACACACACACACACACACACACACACACACAAACACACACACACACACACACACAAACACATATGCCTTAAACTTACATAAGAGTGCTTGGAATGACATTTCTGAAATGACTTCTCGCCCATTGTTACTAGATTTCCACTCCATCTTCAACTTATTTTTAAGATGCAATTAGATCAATATTCACCTTTTTCTTTTCCCCCTTCTTCTTTAAAAATGCAAGTTCTATTTGCTTTTGATTTTAAGTTAGAGATAGGGATTTGCTTACGAAAATGAGAATCGCCTATTGATGGACCCCATCCTCGTCAACCTCTTTATCGAAGATCTATTATGTTATATTTCAGTCTCAATTTCACCTTTCTTTCACTTATTTTTCTCTTTCATAAAGTCTTTTTATGTTTAAACATGTAAAGTGTGTGTTGTTGTTGGGGGGGGGGGGGGGGGGGGGGGGTTTGCGGGGCAAATAGATTTATACAATATATCTGTTTAACATGGAAAATGAAAAGGGGGAGGGGGAGGGGAGTCATTCTATTTCCAAATGCACCCTAAACCATTATGATAAGTTGAGGTAAAAGCTAATGCAATTAAGGTAAAATCATTGACATGGAAAATGAAAAGGGGGAGGGGAGTCATTCTATTTCCAAACACACCTGAAACCATTATGATAAGTTGAGACAATGCAATTAAAGTAAAATCAAACCAGAAAAATTAATTTATAATATATTTGCTTGACATGGAAAATGGAAAATGAAAAAAAAAAAAAAAAAAAAAAAAAAAAAAAAACTACTAAAAATCAATATATAATATATTTGCTTGACATGCAAATCAATTTGTTTGACTTTCAGGCTTTCAAATTTAATAACAACTCCTCCCTGATACTAAGATGAAGTATCTCAACAATTATACTGATTAAGAAAATTAAGTCAATTCATTACCTGGAAATTGTGGGCAGCTTTTGGATCTCCAGGATTTTTATCCGGGTGAACTAGCCTTGCCTAAAAAGAGAAGATGTGAAATTACTTCATGCTTGAAGTGCTGTAACCATTGAAATTGATATTTTATCCTCCCACTATCAAATTCAAGGTGGACCAACCCAGGAAATCCTCAACAGAATAATAGAAATAGGATGTAGAACACAGTTCAAATCAGTAAACTTGATTCCGAATAGCTTGTTCAAATATGTTCTTGAATTCAAAATATTGAAAACAGAAATCACATTAGCGGGATACTGGTCACATCCGAGGTCTTAGCCACATTGTCTTTTAATTTTTTCAAATAATCGGACAACAAAAATAGATTCAAATAAATGTCGTGCGCATTTGTGTGTATTTTTTTTCTTCATAAAACAAGATTTTAATCTTCACAAAAATGATAATTTGGAAGTCTTAGTTTATCTGGCTAAATAAATGACACACGATCTCATCTCCTTGCAATATAACCATGGAAAAGTTTTGAAAATATAATAAAGCAGAGGCCTTACCTTGACGTAGTAAGCCTTCTTAATCTCTGCTGCAGTTGCATCCACATTGACTCCCAATATGTCATAATATTCAGTTTCCTTCACCATAGCTTCAAATAAAACTCTCTAACTTCACAAACTAGACTAGAAACACAAATTCAACCATCAAACACTCTAATTTCTAAATAAATAAAAAATTAATGATGCATCATACAAGGTAAATCATAATTAGAAACAAAAATAGAAAAATCAAAGCGAATCAAATCAAATATTCCCACGTATATATGTAAACATAGACCCAAACGAATACACATACGCACCATGACAAGGAAGAAATAGATGGAAATGTGAAGCAGAATATTTGGTGAAATTTCGAACAATTGTTAGGGTAAAAATCAAGATGATCTTGAATGAATCAGCCAAGCGAAAAAAATTAAAAAAAAAAACAACAACAACATTGTAGTTACGAAATTAAATCATGAAATTGATCGATAATTCAAGAAAAACATTCAAGAACAAGAAACGAAGATCGAAAAAGAAAACATATATGGAGATTAGAGACAGAAAACTAAAAAATGGAAGTGATTAAAGCTGAGATAAGCAGTTCTTGCGAGTTGCGAAAAGAAAATCTAGAGATTGTCCTGATAAAGAAGATGTGTGTGAGAGAGAGACTTACCTGTTAACAAAGATTTACACCAGAAGTCGGACGAAAAACGAAACCAAACACTGCGAACAACTAGAGATAAAAATGGAAGAAATTAGATCTGTTTATGGATTAAAGTATTATTCCAACAATGAAATTGGGACCGACGTTGTCGAGAAAGAAAGGATGAAACGACGACGGTTATACGACGTTCGGGGGATTGATAATTAGAGAGAGAATGTACGTGTAATGTGCGTGGTGTGACAGTGTAGGGTCGCCGGAAAATCTTAGGTGTGAAGTTGAAGCACATGTGGACTCGCGTGATCACCGATTCGTTGCTTCCACATAAAGGATCTTGATGTCCAATGTCTGTGATGGGCCTCATTACTTTGTTTCTTTCTCTACTTTAGGCCTCATAAAAACTACCAACATGACCCAAGCCCAACTACTCAAATCAGGCCAAGACCAAAAACCTCCGCAAATTATTCATCTAGTAATGTTATCAAGTCCAGAGCCTTCTTGATTCGAAAAGTATACAGGAGGTAACAGTTAATAAACACCACCGGTCTAGTCATACAAAGTAGTAGTGAGAGTGCGAGAGTGAGAGTATGAGCCACAAAATTTAAGTCACACAAAATTTAAATTAGAGCATAAATGTGTATGAAGCGCACGGAGCACGAGAACAATATATATTGTGAAGAATTATGTGACTCAGCATGTGGTTAATAAAAACATCTTTTCTTTAATATGAGTAAAAGAATTGGGGTCTTATGATTGAGCCGAGTTTTCAGTCTCTCTACATTTAATAATCGAATCGAGACAATTTTTTAAAATTCGTGAACTGAAATAAATTATTTATTATCTTTTAATTTAATGATTAAATGTGAAAAGTTCATAACAAGGTTTTCACCAAAAATTAATAAAAAAATTGTCTTGAACACAACTATCTTGATTTAGGGAATAGTACCGATGTGTCAAATTTAAATTTAATGACAAGAGATATCTCTTGCCTACATCATCTATGTGGAATGATATCAATCTCTTAAATTTGTGTGATTCCTTGAATTTTCATAGATGGACTAAATAAGAAAAATGATACTCACTCCAAAGAGAGTTGATAAGAGGTGATGCACTCCATCTCTTACGATGTATGGACTGAAGAAGTTAAGGAGTGTTTTAAGCCTTTTTTTGCATGCCAACTCATCTCTTAAATAAATTTCAATATAAAACCAGTCAGCTCTTATGATCTACAACTAAACCGAGTTATTGTGTTCCCTAAAATGTCCCACTTTGTATTGGAGTTTATACTGGATGAGTGAGGCATAACACGTTATTTGGCATTTTCATTGAAAATAATGGTTCGCCTATTTATAAAAACTACTCTGAACAAATTAATATGCTACATAAAAAAATAAAAATAAAAAATTAAGGATTTTAGCATTGGGAGTATTTGTAAGAGGGGCAGAAAGGGCTCGTGTAGCTGCAGGATTTGAAAACGGAATTAATCATGATTTTGAACCTGTTCCTTCCATGACCCATCTTAATTGAGACAGAAAATTTAATGCTCGAAGGAAAATTATTCATTACAATCATTTCAACGATGCTAATATATGTGTTTTGGTAGAGTGTTTATAACCATCCGTTACACCACGTCGTCGTAGTCGTCCATTAACAAATTTATTCAACGAATAAAATGAGAAAGAGATATTTGAACCCTCGATAGTTCTTTGTTCAAAATTAAAATGACCTTTTAAGACTGAGCAAACTTGCCTATATCCTCTTAAAATTTTGAGTAACCCAAAGTGTAAAATTCAAATCTAACACCAGAAGCATATAAACTCCACATGGTTTCCTTTCTTTTTCAACATGAGACAAGTATTTACCACAAACTCAGTCTCTTCACTGTCATAATTTGGGATATAATTTCTCTTTCATCCAAAACGCTTTTGAATAAGTAAATATAGCAAGATTATCCACTCCACTCCACACACTCTATGAGTCGCTTTTATTTTAGCCCAAAAATAACTTAAATACTTATATTTTCTAAGTCCCCAAAACTAGTTTCCACTTTCCAAATTCCAACAATCAAAACTTGAAGTAGCATTAACACCTCAATAATGTGTGAAATTAGAAGCAAAGAAAGGACTTCATAGCTAAGCTCTTCCCATTGAACCAAAAAAACACCTGTCTCTTTCTCTAATTACAAGAAACTTAATTAATAGTATTAAATTACACGCTCTTAGACTTCTCTTCACCGTCCATTAATGTGCATCTAATAAGACAACACTCTCAGTCATCCAAGACTTTCCCATCTTTTCATATTTATTGTTCATATTATACTCTCAGAGAGGCACTAAAGTCCCAAACCCATCCCTGGCTAATATCATCAGCATAAACTTTACTTTAATCAAGATTTCATTTAATAACTATTAATCACCCCAATAAACAAAAACCAAGCAAAAAGGTCACCTGTTTCATGAACTCATGTGAGCCACTCAAATGTGGTATGGCTGGCCACATGCTCTCACAATGTCACAAATAATGTCCTCACACTTTTTTTCTAATAAGCATCAAAGTCCAAAAAGAAATAGGGCATGACAATAGATTTCATCATCCTTCACTCTTTTTTATATGTTAGGTCTAATATTAGCTGATCTCATATCAAAATAACTTACCCATTTCACTTTCCCTCTTTTTTTAATTTGCTTTTGCCACTAAGTCGCCCTTTTTGTTAGGTCTAATATTAGCTGATCTCATATCAAAATGCTAAACTTACCCATTTCACTTTCCCTCTTTTTTATTACTTTTGCCACTAGTCCCTTGTGCAATAAGCATATAGTGACAAAATGACTCAAACATCACCACCATATTATATTCACATGTCACTTATCTATATCAAATGCCAATACCTAACCAGACGGGTGACTTACAAGGACTTTTTTCACATTTAAACAGACTATGCATAGATAAATTGTTTAGCATTTATTATTTTGGTTTCTTCTAAAATTTAGCATGTATGATCAACGACATCACTAGTATTTTCTTGATAAATTTATTGACTAAATTTTATAAAATGATAATCTTATCATTTTCTTATATAAAATGTAATAAAATATAATATTATAATATAAGAGTATTACTCACTTTTCATACTCAAAGTTACTTTTCAATTGTGGTCAAAGGGTTTAGGAGAGATTAAAGTAATAAATTTTGACTATTTTGATAGGTAGTGTGGAGCCTGATAGATACTGTACACAGCCACGGGCCTAGCATTGGCCCAGGGGCGCAGATGCCCCCACTGGATCTTTTTTTTTTTTGTATTATTATCTATATATTTTGTTAAAATTTAAAATATGCCCCCACTCAATTTTAAAAAATCTTCCAATATATACTCTTACCCCCAGCTCTTTCTCATTAAGTAATTAGGTTCTTATGATTATTATCTTATTTTTTAAAAAAACAAATTATTAAATCTGTCACTGACTGTACACCAACACCCTCAATTTTTTTTTTTTTTTTTAGTATTTTGGTAATTTTACACTTGTTATGTTACCCTGGTGCGACTTACGTGTTCTTGTTTAATTTTGCAACATCATTTATAAGTGTATTATTTACTCAAATCTTCTAGGAGGTAGTATAATTTATTCTATAAAAAAAGGAAAGATGACGCGAACCTACTTATTTGTGCTTATCACTTAATGAAAGTAAATGATTATTTTTAATATTTTCTTTAATAATATCCTAATATTCTTTCTAAGAAAAATGATAAAAACCACCTTTTATCTTCCTTTTTATTCTTCTTTTCTTTTTCTATGCTTTTTCATTTTATTATTTATAAAAAAGTTTTAGGAATACGGTTACTAAAATTAAAAGTTATATGAGGTATAATTATTTCGTGGCTAGGATCATTTTGAATTTTTTTTTTTTTTTTTTCTGGGTTTTCTTTTTGATGTTTACTAAAGCTTACTTTATGTAATAAATTACAAAATGATATCGGATCTATAGATGAAGTTATTTTTCTTAATTTTTTTGTTGACTAGATCAATAGACCTGTGAAGCTGAAGCCTTGTTTACTTAATCTATAATGAAAACTTATTCTTCAATCTAAAAAGGAAGTCCAAAAATTTCAGAACCATAAATTAATTCACCATTTTTAAAGTATACATGTGTTTAGCTTGCCCCCAAAAAATGAAAATAAAATAAAATAAAATAAAGTGTACCTATGTGTGTGAGAGGTTACGTTAAAGAATGTATTTGCCATCTCCACTCTCCTAAGTCCTGCAACTTTCTTTTTTTCTTTTCTTTTTGTGCCCTTTAGTGCATGGACGCATACCTGCTGTGCAATTCTCATGCTGTTTCTTACGGTGAGCAATAAGTGGCCTTGGTTTGACCACGTTTTACTCATCTTAATAAACACTAACACTGTGTTTGTTAATCGCACCACTATTTATAAATAATATCTCACCACCATTTTTAAGTAATATCACAGAAATCTAAAAGAAATATCATATAGTCTAAAAATAATATCACCACCATTTATAAATATCTTTCACCCTCAAAACGTGATGATGTTACTTTTTAGACTATGTGATATTATTTTTAGACTTCTATGATGTTACCTATAAATGGTGGTAATGTTCCTTTTTAGACTATTTTTATATTTTACCACCATTAAAAAAGAATATTACAGAGTCTAAAAAATAACATCACCATTTGTAAAAAGAAACATCACCACTTTTAATTTCAAATAATAACATAAATGATATGTTGAATTGAGTTATGTTTATATGTGACATTATTTTTTAGATTATATGATGTTACTTATAAATTATGATGTAATGTTACTTATAAATAGTGGTGTAATTGACTAAACACGATTTTAATGTCCTTTAAGAATGATGTGGCTAAATTTAGACCACTTAAACTGTATGGAGCCTCACCCATAATGGATAAGTGCATGTCATATCATTAGCTAAAACATTGAGCTATCTGGTAATTGGGATCATGGGTCCATGTTACTTCACCTTTTATATATATATATATATATATATATATTTGGGTAAGTAAAATTAACCTTTTGATAAAAAAAAATGCAAGTCATCATCAACATTTCCTTTCATTCTCACAAGTGGTACCATAATCATAACTTTTGAATTTTGCAAGACTTGGCTCTTATTTTGACTATGCATTGTAATATATTACTTAATTTATTTGTTAATAATAGTCATGATAAACTTGTGTTTTTCTATCCAAAATAGTGTGTTTAATGGAGTAAG